CAGACACAGTGGGTGTGGCGTCAGGCCTCGGAGAGGCTTTTATTAACAGAAAATAAACAGTGTCCAGAAAAAATGGAAATCAAGTGTCCAAAATAAACAGGGGATCTGGTGTCCTCGTCGTGCTGCGGGGTTCGTGAAGAGAAAGGCAGTTGTCAGGAAAGAAGGAAGGGTCCAGGTAAGCCTGGCGAAGGGCGGCGATTAAGGGACGGGGTGATGCTGATAATTAGGGGGAGGCAGCCGACTCGTCACAGTGTGTTGATATCCAGCCGAAGAGCAATCAACCATAACTTCAGGCGAGCAGGCTCAGAATGCCCTGGGGGTAAGCAGATAAACATCACATTTCCATTTTTGGGTGAACTATCCCTTTAAATGGCACAAAGCAACACAACATGTACAACGTAAAAATCAACATGTACATGTAATAATTGGTTACATTTATATAGTGCTTTTCTGGGCACTCAAAGCACTTTACATGAAAGCGGGGGTATCTCCTCACCCACCACCAGTGTCCAGCATCCACCTGGATGATGCGACGGCAGCCATATTGCACCAGAACGCCCACCACACCAGCTTATTGGTGGAGCAGAGACAGAGTGATGAAGCCAATCAGTGTATGGGGATGATTAGGAGGCCATGAGGGTCAGGCCAATGGGCAAATTTGGCCAGGACACTTTCTACTGAAGAAACAAAGTCACCTACATCTTGGATGCCCTGGGGGTAAGCAGATAAACATCACATTTCCATTTTTGGGTGAACTATCCCTTTAAATGGCACAAAGCAACACAACATGTACAACGTAAAAATCAACATGTACATGTAATAATTGGTTACATTTATATAGTGCTTTTCTGGGCACTCAAAGCACTTTACATGAAAGCGGGGGTATCTCCTCAACCACCACCAGTGTCCAGCATCCACCTGGATGATTTTTCTCAGGAGGTCTCCCATCCAGGTACTGACCAAGCTCAGCCCTGCTTAGCTTCAGTGGGCAACCAGTCTTGGGCTGCAGGGTGACATGGCTGCTGGCAATGTACATGTCACTACTTCTCAATATTATTAACATGTCCTGAATACTTTCAAGCTGGCAGCTTTCAAATCTTGCAGATCTTTTTTATGCTCAAACAGCAACATTACAGACTAACTAAAGTTGAAAAAGTGAAAAAGCCTAATAGGACCCCTTCAAAAAACACAGTCAGACCCAGAATAACTGGTTAGACATAGAACAAGGGTGTCAAGCTCCTGAAGGGTTTACCTGCTCCAACACACCTACCTTTAGCTAATCTCTGCAGGGCTGTAGCCCTCCAGGAACAGAGTTTGACATCCCTGGTATAGACAGATCAAATCGGCCATTTATGTAGAAAAATATTTTAAAAATTAAAAATTAGTGCTGGGCGGTATACCGGTTCATACCGAATACCGGTGTTTATTTTTCGTATGATATGAATTTTTAAAATACCGCAATACCGGTGTCATTTAAATAATGTTCGGAACGCGTTTGAGGGGGGGTCTCTTTTCACTGTTGCACTGTGGCGAGAACACAGCTGTATGTGTTACTAAGCGTGAAAGTTCCGAAACTGAAGCTGTAGAACTAGTAGAACGTGATGACACCGAAGAACTCGTCCACAATATCCACTGACCGCCACAAATATCCACCTCCCGCTGCCATCAGCTCCCGCGTCTCACACACACACACGAGCGCGACTTCAGCACTAGATTTGGCAACTTTCAGACGCTTTTAGCGGCTTTTCCCCATAGATTATATATACTGACAAACCTAGCAACTTTTTTGGATAAACCTTAGCTATGATTCAGTTGGAAGATGTCGCCAGTGTAGCCAAAACCACCGCATAGCCGCTCAACATGCATCTACTGTACTTGCATGTTGATTTTACCAGACGATGTCGCGATTATAAAAGAGTGACTCCTGGTTAACATGTATAAATGGGTCGTGTTTCGTCACTATTTAGAGTGGAATTTTTCTACAATATTCACTCATCATGACAGTAAAATAGGGCATTCTAAGTCAATTTGCTGCAGTAGCCTATTTCCTCTCTCAATCAGTAGAAAATGTGGTTTACACCCGGTCATGCATGGAAAAAATAAATACCGTCATATACCGTGAAACCGGTATAATTTTGAAAAATACCGTGATATTCATTTTTGGTCATACCGCCCACCACTAATTGCCATCTATATTCAGTTTTGCAGAGAAACAGCAGTCCCAGAATTTCGGTCAGGATTTAAGCCCATCAAATGGTGTCGTATTTGAAAATTACTTTGTGCATATGTGGAAAGAAAAAACAAAGCTTGAGCGCACAGGTGCGATTAACCCAATCAGGCCTGGTTCTACTGGGTACTAGAGGGTATTAGCTTCCTTAGCGGTACTATTCCTTAGCGGAATCTAATAACAGCACATTGCTAAAAAAGTTTTTGCAAACATGCCAGTGCATGTTTGTGTTTATGTTCCAGAGAGTGTCAAATCTCCAGTATATATATTAGGCACTAAATAGGCACTACTTTAACGACAAGGTGATATAGTTGTTGTTGAAAAAAAAATAATAGTAAAGAATAGCACTGAAGGCAGCAATCCTTGTTACCTCCACCACGTTTAAAGTTTATGGCCCGCCTAACTCGAAAACTCGAGTATCAAAATAATCTCTTGAGTTTCCCAGTAGTAAATACAACTTGAGAGGCCGTTCATGTCCAATTTCCGATTAGGATTTATGATAATTCCAACTTGAAGGCAGCATAAAACGTGCTCCGTCCCGGAACGTAAAGTGCAATGTGAGTGCAGGCCAGCGGGGGAGTGGGGCGGGGGGGACAATCGCGCTCGGGCTTGGTTCAAGGCAACGGTGGCTAGCTATGCAGAGTATAAGCTTCTTTGGTAACACTTCCTAATAACTTTCATTAATAAATCATCCACAAACATTATATAATGTTTAATAAATCATTAGTAAATATATGTTAAAATAGCTAGAAATATGAGATAATGTGCTTGTTAATCGATGCCGTCAATCGATTAAAAAAAAAGAGGAATTAATCACACTTTTTTTTCTGAAATTAATCGTGATTAATCCCACCTAACATTCAAGTTTTTAAATATACATATATTTTGCAACAATTTCACATTCAATGTTCAAATTTTACAATATTTTTAATATTTGTTTAATGACATCTGTTTTATGACTGAAGGCGAGTATCACTGATACCAATACTACTGATGTCTTTAAAAATGGTTCTTTTTTCCCTCTAATATTTAACCATTGACTATAATTATGAGCTTTAATTATGCTCGACCTTAGTGCAGCTTTTGATCTAATAGATCATGATATCCTTATTAAACGTTTAGTGCATGTTGTGGGTCTGAGAGGGGACTGTTTTAAAATGGTTTTCTTCTTATTTAAAGGGACGATCCTTTTCATTGAGGGTTGGGGAATTTTCTTCCTTTTCAGTTTCTATTGATTGTGGAGTACCTCAGGGCTCCATTTTGGGGCCTATTCTGTTTTCACTATTTCTGTTGCCTTTAGGCCTTATTTTAAAAAAACACAGCATGTCTTATCTTTATGCTGATGATATTCACATTTATTTGCCTATTAGATCTGGAGGATTAACTTCTCATTCATCTTTGTTATGTCTTGAGGAGGTGAAGTGCTGGTTAGAGCAAAATAGCCTACAGCTAAATGCGAGTAAATCTGAAGTAATCATTTTTGGGCCAAATAAGGTTGACTGTGACATAAATGATGTGTTAGGTACATGGACAACAAATGTGCAGTCCCAAATAAGAAATCTGGGTGTAATTTTTGACTCCGCTACAACGTTTGATCATCAGATTAAATGTGTGGTGAAAAGTTGCTTCTTTCAGTTGAGGACTATTGCAAAAATTAAATCATTTTTGTCTGTTGCTGATCTTGAGATAATGATTCATGAATTTATCTCCTTCTGTTTGGACTATTTTAATGCACTTTATTTGGGAGTAAGCCAATCTCTTATTTCAAAATTGCAATTGGTCCAGAATGCAGCTGCGAGGCTCCTTACTAGCACAAAGAAAAGGGAGCATATTACTCCAGTTTTGGAAAAGCTGCATTGGTTTCCGGTTAAATATCGGATTCAGTATAAGGTGTTGCTGTACGTTTTTAAAGCTGTCCATGATATATGAACTCTGGTAGACCTCAAAGTTCATTTAACTGCTTACTGCTCTCAGTTCCGAAAACTTGCCTGAAAACTAAGGGGGATCGTTACCCTTCCACCTGACATCAGATCTGCACCCTCAGTTGATGTTTTTAAATCTCGCGTGAAAATATACTTGTTTTCTATGGCTTTTAATTGTTGACTTTTGGAAGATGTAAATTGTTTTAATTGTTTTTCTGTTATTGTTGATTTTTGTTTTTACTATTCTCGTCTTGTTGCTGTACAGTCCTTTAGTCTACTTTGTAGTGGAAAGGGCTCTATAAATAAAGTAGACTTGAGATTTGAGACTATATGTAATGTTGACTATACTAACATTACAGTATAATTGAGAGCTATCAATTTTAACATTCATTAGACTTTAAAAAATAATTTAAAACTTAAAACAATCTTCACATAAACAATCTTCACATAAACCCATTA